TACAGTATCATTTCTGAGAAAAAAATGAAAGTTTTATTTATCAAACTGATGAAAAAATGTTATGAAAAGTAACAATTATAACCAAAAAAAATATGATTTCTAAGAAGAAGTCTGCACCGCCACGTCATCAGTGACAATGGCCGATAATGGAAACATAAAAGGAGAGTAAGCTGTTGTCAAAGTAAGACGTTACTTATGATAAAGATGTGACGACGATGATTTCAGGTGAGCAGTCCCACTTTTGAAAACACAGCTCTTTCAATTGTGAACCCCCATCCATGAGAGCGTGTCTGTGTTCCTGTCTTCATCAAAACTCTGAGCTTATACGTTCTTTAAAAAAAAAAAAAGAAAAGAAAAGAAAACAACACTAGTGTAACCCAGAACAAGAAAGCCATGGTACAGAAGGAAGGGCACCTTATATTTGTTGGACAACTGCAAGTAGTTAAATATTCATGCAACTTTAGAAACATCTCCGTTTAGATCTCTAGGCTAACAATACATTTTTATTCTTTATGAATATCAATATGATTCTCCACATTCTGGTTAAAGTCTTTCTCCATGTAAAGTAACAGTTAATAGATTTTGTCATGAAATCTGTTGATAAACCATATGTTCAGTCTGTACAATAGAGGTACTAAAAATTACAACTGTCATGGTATATGTACAATTTACTACCTACAAAGTACAACAGATAGCATGTAATAAAATATGTAAACAAATTTCTTATTTTTTTTTGACACAGTTGACTGTGACAGCAGATAGAATTCACACTTTCAACATTTGATTTATTTCTGTATACACATTTGTTAACAGTGTTGTAGTACTGCATTTGTCTTCTTCCTGACACCTCCATAGAAAAAAGAGAATGATAGGCAATGAACCAACATACAGTTTTGCAAAAAGATAAAACCACCACTGTCTGTGCATCAATAATAGACCTTTTCTTTAGGAGATAGTTATTTTCTTTTTTTTTTTTCCATATTTAACACTTTTGAGGGGTTGAAAAAGAGGGGAAGTCCTGATTCGATGACAAAGAACTGTTTCTGCATTAAAGAGAACATGGTCCAAGTTGAACACTGTATACTGGACTTTTACTATACTGGACTTTACTGTAGAATTAGGATGGCATGCATTTTACAATCAGTCGCTTCTTACCAAGAGAACCAGCAAATTCTTTCCACAACACGAGACCTGTGTCTGTCAGACAATGAGGATAATTGTGGTGAATAAGATGCCAGAGCAAACCGATGTTATGAGATCTGCCCTTGGCAATTTGCTCACTTGGTTTCATTTTATACACAGAAATAGTTTTCTTTTCTTGCTGTTCTTTTTGTCATTTTTTTTTCTTTTGCTTAAAGCAAAAATACACCACACTTATATTATTTATAAACCATAAAAATTTGTAATATTTTGATACAAGAGTCCTTTTTACTTTTACAATGATTGTGTGCCTGACCCCTCTTGTTAAGCACTACATGTTGCTTACATGCTGAAAATGTATAAGATTATGAGCCTTTTGTAATTAACAATTTCACAAAAAAATTGTTTAATGCCAAGGATCACAGAGTTCTAAAAGTCACTTAGGAGAATGATGCTGTGAAATATTTCTATACTGATAATGTCTCTGACCAGATAGAAGAGTAAGGTCTCTAAAGTTGCTATTTAACCTTGTCATTAAGCATATGCTTAATAGTAAGTGTGCTTTATGTTACAGTACATATCATCAGTTCAACTACTCAGCACAGTATAGGATTATTCAAGTTCCATGTTATACCATCATTTGTCATAGCTCCTCACAAGGAAACTGGTAGGTAAATGGTCTCTTAGTGCTTTCTTTCTTTACTCTCACGTGTTCACGAAAGTCTCACAGTCACACATAATACTCCTTATCCTTATTTTTCTGTCTCTTGTTGCTGCCTTTCAAGCTCTGCTGTTTGTCCTTCATGACAGCGCCATTGCTCTGCACAGCTGAGTTGGTTATGTAGTTCCTGCTCTCGTCCACCTGGTAGGAGCCTTCATCCCTGTTCCTGTACTTATACATGGCATACAGAAGGATGAGGATGCACAGGGCAGCGGCCGCCACTATTCCGATGACCATCCCGGTGGTGCTGCTAGATTCACGGACCACTTCCGAGGGCCCTGGAACTCGCCTGACGCCTGGCTCTGTGGGGAGTGCTGTGGGTATATTACGGAACATTGGGGAGGTTATTAATGGGCCCCTCAGCTTGGTGCTGTCTACCTCAAAGGATGTGGGCAATGGAAGCAACACTAGGTCGGGCTGGGGTTTTAGCTCGCGGTTATTCATTTTGCCAGCCGGCTGTTTGGCCGGAGCATTGTGGAGGGTTGCGGTGGAGGCAGAGGTGGTGGTGGTGCGGCTCTGGTCGGCGGTTAGTGGTATGGCGGTAGTGGTAGTCCTACTGCGTCTGGAGATGGAAGGTTTGTTAGGTATAAAAGTCTTGGGTGCGTTTGCTTTGTAGTCACCTTGAAAGCCTGACGTGGACAAGGTCTTATCTGTTACCAAGGAGAAGGTCGAGTAAAAATCTTCATCATCAGTAGGGGGCAGGTTAGACTTGAACGCTTTCCCAGAGCCATACCCCGATATCACCAAGCCATCATCATCACAATCATCGCTGCCTCGGTCCGACAAGCAAGGTACCCCCGCCTCAGTGGCCTTGGACAGGGACTCTTTGGTGGTCTCAATAATGGTGAGGAGTGGGTGGTGGGTTGAGGGAGTGGGAATGAAGGGTGCACGAGGAGCTACAGAGGGGTGCGCTAATGGATCCTCAAGTACTCTGATGACTAACTCAGCTCCTGGGTTGGAGACAGACAGGTAGTCACATTAGACGACAACATAAGTGTTTTATGAAGCATACAAAATCTAACACACCTAGACAGAAAAACACAACAGGCAGCGACTAAACCCAAATCTGTGAACATTGACATGGTACGTCAACCATTGCCCAATTTTGCCATTTTGAAATCTGCCATATTTGTGTTTAAATCCTTGTATTAGTTCTAAAAGGCTTAAGAGGTGTGCAAGGATGAGCCGGAAAGATCAAGCAATTCTGAATTTAATTGCGCTCGCTCTAGTTAAATGCACTTCATTCTTTGTCGGTCATATTTAATGAACTTCGTGACAATCTGTGAATGCAAACTTATATATTTAATGAAATAAATACAAATGAGTGAAACTGTATTTTGCAGGGTAGGAACAGTCATAAGATAATGTTTTGGCAGAACAATATTTTTTCCTTGAAAAGTGTAAGTTAGTATTTAGAAAAACTATCAATAGCTGCACATGCAGTAACAATAAAAACTAGAGTGGCTCTCTGATCGTCTTAAACCTCTTGCTTTTTTATGGCAATACAAAAAACTGCAGTCATAGTTCTACAGACATTTCTCTGGTGCAGAGCTGAACTGTGTAGATTGATCTGTTGAGAAAAAAAAAAAAAAAAAAAAACTTTCATTCCTGAGTTGGATGCAAATCACAGATTTCTTTACATCCAGAGAAAAAAGTTTTGAATCTAATCCTAAAGTGGACACACATACCAGGTAACGTATCAAAACAGAAAAAAAAAACAACTGTATGTTGTAATCTTACATTTATATATGTGTGCGTATTAGTTTAGCTATTTGTTTGTCCATGTGAACATTTCTAGTTTTTAATTTATACATGCTGTATCCAGAAGAGTGAATCAAATTAGTCCTGATTTTATGAATGAGGCCAAGTGCTAGGTCATGTATTACAACCAAGGCATCGCACATGGATAAAGATGGACTAGATAGGCTTTCTCACATGATTGGTAACACTGGTCATCAAACTATAATGATTGCATTGGGTCTTGCCTGTCTTATCTGTTGTTTTCTGCATTGTTCTCCTTCTTGACAGGGTTGTTAAATGACCCATTCAGTTCTCAATCAATACAATGATTCCATCACAAAAGCAGCTCTGATACCAGGAAAAAGTTGTTTAACTATAACTGTTTTGTTGAATTCATACCAGGTCAATGGCAGAGCAAAGCCACCTGAATGCTCACCCTCAGTAAAATTCTGGGATGGATAAAAGTTGTCATAACACATCTTTCATCCAGTGTGTGTTGGGCAGCTTCATGTTGTAGTTTGACTCTTGTGCACCAGAAGAACAGAAGACCAGGTCTCCTACCAGATCAGTTTAAATACGGACGTGCCTTCAATTTATTAGTTTTCTTCTTAAACACAGTTAAACCAAAAAGATAAAGTCAGAACAACTTCTTCCAAATGTAAATGATGTCTAAAATCAGTCAGAATGGGAAGTTACTAGTTTACCGTATCGCCTTCCCTTCAGGAGCTAACAGTAAGGTTTACTAGAGGTGTGTTTAATACACTTCATCTTGGGAATTCCATTTAACATTCTTGATAAATATGACTACAAAGCAAAATGCTCCTCAAGTTTTCAGCTGTGTAGTTCTTAGGAAAGGTATTTGTCACTGAAAATGCTATTAGTAAAACTCCTGTAAGCAATACAACAGTTTCTATCTTCGGTGGAAGGCCTGACATACATGTCTAACAAGTACAGTAGTTCTTCCACACTGTCGACTGAATACTTGTGTCTCATTGTCTTTTTTGAACAAGACATAACGTGGTGGTCTGTGTAGCACTTTGCAGTTTTTTGTTATACTACATGTTAGACATCAATAGAATGTATGGAGTATATATTGTCTATGAAATAGTGATAACAATGTTGTTTTTATTTTCATCCATTTATTCACCTACAGGCTGTATTTAAAAAAAAAAAAAAAAGTTCTATCTGAACAAAATGACTGTAACCACAATAACAACAGGACAACTGCACGCTCAGGTGTGCTGTATTAGCTGCACTGCCTGGTCTGTGGTTGGCCAATAGTGCACTCTAAAAGATGCAATATGTATACATATATATATTTTTTACATTTTTGTCTTTCAAAAATCCCACCAAAAAAAAAAAAACACCTTGACCTCGCCTTGACTCTGAACTGAACAAAGACCTGCAGTGTTACACAGACCTGTGACTGCTTTAGTTAATTTAGTTTTAAGTCTTAAAAGGGTTTCATTGTTAATCAGCTAATGCACATTAAAGTAAATGTCTTTCTGGTGACAAGAGCAGACACATGTTGAAAGCCAAATTTGAAGAAGAAAACTATGTTCCACTTATTAAGGGTTTGTAATCTTGAGCAGGTATCACTGGAGTGAATATTCAGAGTGACACAGAAAGTATCCACTGCCATCAAGCATGTGCATATGGAGCCTTTGATGCACATCCGATATAAAGCAAACAATTGTGTTACTCACAAATTATCACAAACACCAACACATACATTCACAAGCACACAACTCAAGATTGAACAAAGGCCTTTTATTCCAGAATTTCAAATGATAAAATGCTATTAAAGACTCATTCAGTTGTCACATGTCACAGCTCGGTCAGAGATGCAGTTTGCAAACTTTCAAAAAAAAAAAGTGCTGCTTGTGTTGTTTTGTATTGACAGAGTACATGTAGCATTTTGCAGCAAATGTTCTCAACAACCAGTCAGGTTTGATGGAACAAATCCTAGAATTGATCTTTTGGGACACTACAATGAATGACTTGTTTGTTTAAAGGTTGAGAAACTCTAGCATGTAAAAAAAACCTAAAGAGTTCAGATTATAAGTGAAAAGGAATGATCTCCCTCCACCTCTTCACATATTGCAGGTTACAGCTGATAAGAACTGGTCCCCCAACACAACATCTACTTATATTCATATCCTATATCTTTAAAAAAATAAAGTAAAATCAATGATGAGAAATTACAGAATATGCTACATGTAACAGCAGCCGAGTTGCATTTGCTGTGACATACAGAAGAATAGTCATTTTGAAATGTTCCAATTCTCGCATTTTGCAAACTGCATCCACAAAACACAATTCAAAGAGAGTGAAAACATACATACTGGATATTTTCAACTTACATCAACAAATTGCCCGCATGATTTAGGCATGAAGAAAAGAATTTACAAAGGAAAAGTTGTGTAAGAATGTTGGATAGCCACTTGGTACCGTTAAAGATCATTTTATCCATTGAAGATTGTGTTCTATCTTAAAACATGACGGTACAGGGAGGCAACAACACATACATCCACACCACATAACATAAAAAATAAACACCATAATTCTGTTTTTAATGTTTTGTTTTTTCCTGGTAAATAATTTGTTTATACAAAAAAATGTGTATCTGCATTTTTTCATTGCAAGAGACTTCAATGGTACCTAAAATCTATTCATGTTACAATTTTTGCTTAATTTGTCATTTGTTCTTTAGTGTAGAATGGATGGATGACTTCATATTTTAATATCTCTAAAGACAAGGGAGAAGGTGAAGAAGGGTTGGGACCTATGAACATACTACATAGGAAATGAGGATGATGAGGGTGACAGTGTAAGTCAGTTGCCATGTCCATGTAAAGGCAGTACGAAGCGGTCGGGCGGCATTAGAGCTTTTGGCTGTAAGGAAGGGATGGGGATATACAAACAATGAGCAATATACATGCCCATCTACAGAAAAGAACAGAAGAACTCTAACACTGACATGTCTTACAAACCCTAAACTGCAACTTCTTAGCCATGCAATTCATTTGTTTTTTTCTTACAGTCAAAATATTATTCAGCAAAGATTAATTTGTTTTGTCAAAATAGATTTTTTTTAAAGATCTGAAAAATGGAAGATATATGAAAAGTAGATCTGGAACTGCTTCACCTGCTAATTTGTGGGCTTTTACATGTGTTTTTAAAAAATATATCCTGAAGTTGAGTTAGTCGTGTTGCTTTGAGTGGTGCTTTGTTAGTTTCATATTTGCCAGGTCAGCATATTGTTGGAAATAAAACACACAAGCTAGTCACTGAAGGAGTTCCAAATCCCAAAAAGTCAAATTATATCAAAAATATTTCACACTGTGATTTAGATATTTTCTGATTTACAAAAAAAGGAAAAAAAGCATACTTATAATAAGCCCAAAAAACATAATCAGAACCAAAATGTCAGTGATCAGTTATATAACTACAAAAATATGACCAGTTAAAACTACCAAATGAAAAATGTTAAGATGAAAGAACAAAGCCATTTAAAATTTTGCACACACTACAACCAGATGCACACAATAGAAAACAGACACCGTTGAGAGAG